TAGGGAAAAGAATAATATTTGTCTTTATAAATCATGTTAATCGTAATATGACCATCAAAAGTTTTGCTAAGATAAAGAGATTTACATTATATGTTAGAAATTAGTTTGTTATTTAAATGTAAATGGATATAATGATAATTTGTATATTTAAATACAAATGACATGTTAAACTTTATAATTTTTATAAGGGTAAAATAGTAAATCAAAAAATTTTCATGTTAAAGTACTTTTATTAGTAGTATAGATATAGATAGATATAAATATAAATAGATATAGATATAAATATGAGATGAGTGACCCATGAAATGTTTTTCAAGTTACGATTTGATTTTATCAAACAAAATAATTAACCCCGACTAATCATACCACAATTAAAAGGTTTATTGGAATTTAATTCATAATAAACGTTTATCCATAGAATTCGGATGGGATGGGGCTATTACCACCCTATTAAACTACTTATTGCAAAACTATTAAATTTATCCCTTCAATACCTAGTGAGTGTCTGAGTCCACCCCATTTTTTATCCATCCTATCAATAACTAAACCCTCAACCACCAAAACAGGTCTTCATCATAAATTATTCTATGTTAAAAGTATCTCTTCCATTCCGTATCAAAAAACCTTGGTTGAAAATTAAAGGATTAGAGTAGCCTATAAAATCAAGGCAGGTGCCACATCAAAACAAGGCAAATGGCATATAGGGTCACAAGATGATATGACTAGGGGGTTCCCTGCAAGATCTCGCGGTTGGCAGGGGGCACAGCACCGCGGAAGGTGTTGAGCATAAAGGAAAACATCAACCACTGTAGAATGTGTCAGGAACCGAGGAGGGAGGGACACTTCCCTATTACAATCAAAACGACAAAATGGATCCTTGCCCAAAAGGGCAAGAGTGCCCCGCAAGCATGTCGTCACATAAAATGGTTAATGGATCTTCATTCGAGAGATGAGAGTGGCACCGCGAGTATACTATCGTGAAAAATAATAAATAGATCCTTATCCAAAAGGGCAAAAGTGGGCCACGAGCATATCACCCGTAGAAATGGTAAACGGATTCTTGTCTGAGAGACAAGGGTGGTCTGTGAGCATATATACTGTGGGAATGGTAAACGTATCCTCATCCAAGAGACAAGAGTAACACTACGAGTACAGTACATGGATTTGTGTCCAAAAGGACAAGAGTGGTATCACAAGCATTTGGGGACAAATGGTGTGACCTGGTCAGTCCGCATTCCCTGCCCCATAAATGGTAAATGGACATAGCTGAGATCCCACGAATAGTGGATTGTATATCCCTAGCAAACGGTATATTGGTGCTCGAATGACCCAAGAGGAGAGGTCTCATCTTAAGATAAGGAAATGTGACCCTTTTTAAAGGAGAATTAAGCAATGGACGGACAACACATGATTGTCAACCTTGGCCTTGGGAAAGGCTTCAAAGGTTTAGTCTGCTTGAGCAAGGGCTTGTTTGGATGAATTTTGGGGAGGAGGTTGGATTGCCTTCTCCAAACCCAAACCCTTCTTTGGAAAGATGAAATTCAACATTCAATTTGGTTCATACCAATGTTTGGTATGCAACACATACATATGTAGGACCCACAGATATATCATAATTATTAACAAATATTTATCCTATAAATAACTATTTTACCCTTGATCAATCTAATTCGTACTCATGTTAAGGGGTACAATTTTCTTTTAGATTCTTAATCCCCTACCCATCTTCTCAAACCCATCTCCTCCCTAGGTTTGACGAAACTCATGATTATGAGTTTAATCTTTAGACCATGTTTGAAAATCTGAGACTGAATTTTTCATATAAACATGGGATTTGGGAGAGCTTTGGACTATTTTCTCCAAACTCATCTTGCCAAACCCCTCCATATCCCCTTACCAAATAGCCTCCAATGTATGACTCACTGTTTACTATTCACGGGTGGTGGTGGGCAACAATGATGGTGATGGTGGTGGGCGATCATGGTGGTGGAATGATAATGTCAGTAATAATAAATATAAGAATGAGATGATGGTGGTAGAGGTGGGCGACGATAATAGCAATCGGTGGTGATAGGAGGTGGCGATGGTGGTTTTGGTGGTGGTTGTGACAGAAGTGGTGGCGACGGTGACGGCGGCCAGGGGGTAGTGGGGTGGTGGCAGCGTGGCGGCAACGTTGGTGGGGCGGTAGGGGTGGTGGTGGTGGTAGGGTGACGGTGACGGTGATGGTATGGTGAAGTATTTTGTAGATATGTGATTTTAAAGAAATAGAAGTTATTTTTTTTTTGTATACTTACTTATTTAAGTGATAAAATTAGTTTTGATTTATTTGAAAGTAATTAAAATAAGTTGTCCAAAACATTATTATTACTATTATTTTTTAATGAGAAGTCATAAGTTGTAGAACCATTTTTGAAAAATCACACTAAGCATTTCCTTTGGGGGACTATTTTTCCTAATAAATTTGGGGAGTTAATATTAGTCATCGGATTAATTTTAAAGTAAAATTTAAAATGATTTCAACCACGAAAAGTAAAAAATATTTTTTATGTTTTCAATTTTTGTACTTTATTATATAGATAAGACATTGGCCAAAATGATCAATTTTCCAATTTTGTAGAGAAAGATAGCTTTCTGATCTATTTTTATGAATATTTTGTATTCATCTCCAATTCATTTATGTTCCAAATAAATCCTGTCGATTTTAATTGAAAAATATAGGGTTCTTTTGAAAATCTGATTCAATTAGGAGCAATGGTTAATCTAATCTAACTAGGAAACTAGAGTTTTTTTGGTGATATACATACATATAAATATACGCATACAGATACTAAGTTGTTTATGGTCATTCTTTCGCTTTCGTTTCAAAAAAATCTTTGTTATCAACCTATCATTATAGTTTACCGTGGACTTCAACCAATTCTATTTACTCATATACAGGGCGGAGTCAAAAAAAATTATTAGGATAAGCTCATTAGTACGTTTAAATTTTTTTTAATTGACCGTAGAGGTTTATAAATTTAAATTTATTGAAATTATATTTAATACTTAAAAGTTTAGTAAACATAGAAGATTAAAAATTGATATGCATAACATGAACAAAAAAAAATTAATAATTAAAACTTCTTATCAAGAATGAGTCTAATTATTGTCACTTATAATTGACCAAGATATTTTTTTATTATTGAAAGAGTTACAAATCAATCATATCAATAATATTTTTTTATATATATAATCGTGATAACAATCTTCCATTTATGATACTATAGTTTATTACATAATGACACAAATTTTTATACAATAACGAAATAATCCTATAATTTAAAAAAAATTCAAAATAACGTCAATATGTTCAAAATATATTCAGATATGTTTAAAACGTGTCTAAAAGTTAACAATAATATTAGTTGCACCTAATTTGAGACTTAATTTGTGGAGACCCAATGGTTTGTAACCAATGTTATCAGAACCGGACTGGTCATCGAATCGGCAAGGAGACCGAGTCAATAGTTCACTAGTTCAACCGTTAGGTCAACTGGTCGGACCGGTCATATAATAAATATATATATATAATAATTATAAAACTTAATAATTTAGCTAAAAAATATAAAATATGTATAAAATACATAAAATTTGCCATAAAATTAATGAAATTAAGTAACAAAGTGGGGGTTATTGTATTNTATATATAATAATTATAAAACTTAATAATTTAGCTAAAAAATATAAAATATGTATAAAATACATAAAATTTGCCATAAAATTAATGAAATTAAGTAACAAAGTGGGGGTTATTGTATTTTGAAGCAAAGTAAAGAGGTTCGAGTAAATTATAAAGAAAAAGAAAGGGTGTCATTTATAATTTATCCAATAATAAGGTTAAAAAAAATCAGCTATTTACTGATTTAGGGCAAAAAAATTTATTAATGTAATTTAANTAAAGAAAAAGAAAGGGTGTCATTTATAATTTATCCAATAATAAGGTTAAAAAAATCAGCTATTTACTGATTTAGGGCAAAAAAATTTATTAATGTAATTTAATTTTTAAATAGGCATTAAACCGTTCGGTTTTTATAAAACCGGCGGTTTACGGTTTTTGTTAAAAACCGGCTGATTTTCTGGTTTTTAGCCGGTTCGTTTCCTTAAGCGGTTCAACTAAGGAACCGAACCGGTTAGGGTCCCAGTTCACGGTTGAACCGGTCCAACTGGCCGGTCCGGTCTGGTCCTGATAACACTGTTTGTAACCATCAGAAAGATAGTGGAGTTTATTAAATTTTGAGGTTCACTATTAGATTTAATATCACAATGTATCAAGTCCTTAAATTAAGTCTCAATAACATTGTTCAAAAAGTTAACAATCATTTAAATAGGGGTTTATTCAAATCGATATCACTAGGAAAAAAAAAAGTGAGCATAATTAAATATGTCTAAATTTTATTTAAAACATACATGTCTACACTAAACAACACTAAAAGACTCCGCAATGTACCCTCTTTATGGCTTTTGAATCACCAAATGTTCGTTTATTTTCAGCTAACTTGCCTCTGGACATAGTACTACACACATAAGGTGCATATATTTATTGGTTTTAATCTCCCATAAGATGCATGTTATAGTCTTGTTTAAACTAGCTTGAAGCTATCTCAATGTTCCTTCTATGTTTTGTCAAGGTAATGAGCTTTCCATGTTCAACTTGAATCATGATGATAACTGACCATTACACAATACCACAGATTCCCAGATAATTCGACTCTCAGTTGAATTAGACCATCAAAACCATCCTCTTGTTGGTTGTTTTTTGATTCTTTCATCAGTTACAAGATTCAAAGGCCGCATATTTGGCTGGCTCAACCATTTCGATCTTATGAGGAAGAGTAATTTATAATTTCAAGTGTACTCAACAAAATCTTATCCCAAACAATTTAGACTCAGCTAAATAAAGCTTGGTCCTCAATTGTGCTCCAACAAAAGCCATTTTCTGCATCTTATTGGGTTGTAACTATTTGGCACCAAACACAAAACATGTAGAGTTTAAATTGTACAGAAGAGAGGAGATGATATTCCTTAAAATTCATATAAGCATGACTACATCAAACAAAAAAGAGAAAAAACAGTAGTACAGGTTGTATGAATAACATATTGGTGGAATGAAAACTGTAGAGGGACTGCGTCTCGTACAAGGTTTATTAACATGAAAATTGATTTAAAGAAACACACATGGGCGTGTCCTCCTTCGCCTTTTCTTTGGTTTTGGAGGCTGCAAGACAACCTTGATTGCAGAATCAAACACAGCTTTCACATTCTGATGGATCACAGCCAAGAGCAAAAAGTAAGGATTAAGAGACTCATGCCCAAGCTACCGTGAAATATCATAAGCCACATTGAAGCAAAAATATGAAGGTATCTGCCAGATATGTAATATTGACATCATTAAGGTATTAGGTCTGAGAGGTTATTGCTCTTAGACCAACTCGAAAAAAAAATCAGTCTGTCATTGTTCTCATATTTTCACAGCTAATGCTATGGTGGTCTTATAAATAATGGACTTCTTTGTTTTATTTTGTTGAGAAAACAGAGGAAAAGGGCAAAGTGAAGAAACTATCTTGAAGAAATTAACTAGTGAGAATTTACAGAACTTAAAATTCTCTTTCTTGTCTGCAACCAATTATCTCTAGCATTTCATTGCTACTTATTTGCTGGGAAATTTGAAGGTCTGAAGCAAGCACTGCATTTCAATATTTTCAATTTCCTTCCTTTTTCTCTAGACAATCCTCTCAGCTCCAGATCCCTCAACCCCCTGGGGCCAAACTCCCACTTGCCTGAGAGAAGTCTCTAAGAGAAATTTGAGGTTGAAGCAATAGTACTTTTCCAAAATTTTCTTTTTTTTTTTTCNCTGGGGCCAAACTCCCACTTGCCTGAGAGAAGTCTCTAAGAGAAATTTGAGGTTGAAGCAATAGTACTTTTCCAAAATTTTTTTTTTTTTTCCCTTTTTCTTTAGACAAATTTATCTGGAATATGATAAAGATGTTGGTCTAGTCAGCCATTAGATGTTCTCTCAATCCCTCCTCCACCCTCCCCCAATCTTCCTCTCTTCATATCCCAATAGAATAGAATCACAAAATGCTTAGAAAATTAGTATTAATCACGAAAAGCAGCTGGCTAGTAATAGATAAGTTAAACAACAGAGAGCATTCAAACCTGCTGAGTCTTTGAGCTGCACTCGATGTAAACAGCAGCACCAATCATCTTCTTTAGTTCCTCCCCCTGCCCAATACTCTTGTCATGAATATAAGCAATTTGATATTTATAAGTTTATGGCAATACACATACAAATACACACACACATGCATACACATTCACTTTCTTGAATTTTGTACAAGTTCATTTGTTTGCTTAGTCATGGTGGTTCACTTGCCTGAGCAGTTGTGATTGGAGTTGCACCAGGATGATTACTCAAATACTGCTTGTCGTCACGTATGTCTGCAAGCAATTTTGTAGAACCATATAAAAGGAAACTAATTAGGACTATAAACTTAAGAATTCAGCTCCTAATCTTAATAATCATGGTCAATTTGTTTGCACTACAACAATATCTTACCTAGTTTGGTTCCCACTAGCACAATTGGCACAGTTGGAGCATAATGCCTTAGCTCAGGGATCCACTAAGTTCAATATTCAACTTATGTCAGAGACCAAAAATCAAAATAAAATAATCTGAATATCACAACAAGTGTTTGAAACAATGGGCAGCCCAGTGCACAAGGCACTTGCCATTGTAGAATCTGAGGAGGATCGTATGTACACAACCTCAGCCCACGTGCGATGCTAGTGAAGAGACAGTTTCCGCAAAGGTTGTAAATAATGAAAAACATAATTCAAGAACATCATACTTGGTTTTCCTTTTTCCTAATTATTTTGGAAAGACCATTTTCTGATAACTAACCTTCTTTGAGATATTTTCATAGCTGGCTTTGCTAATCAGGGAGAAGGCCAACAAGAACACATCAGCACCTCTATAACTCAGAGGTCTCAGCCTGTTATAATCCTCTTGTCCTGAAATATCACAAAATGAAATTCGTATAGGTTTATAATCATAAATTCTGAAACTATGTGGTTGTTTGCTTTCAAAAATTACATGATTAAGGGACAATTGTCCGCCATTTTTCTTTCGGAAAACAACTATTTGATAGTCAAAACCTTCACAAACTACTAAATTATTTGATATTCATGAATTGGACAGAGCAGTCACCAAAAAAAACAAACAAACATATAAACTAAGCACTCACCAGCAGTATCCCAAAGTCCAAGGTTAACTGTACTTCCATCCACCACCACATTAGCACTAAAATTGTCAAACACCGTGGGCACATAATCCTATTCGGCCATGAAAAAAAATAAAAATAAATTAAAGGAAAGAAAATGACACTGAGAAAAAGAAAAGAAACCCGAAAAAAGGGTTACAATTGAAAATTATTCTCTAATATATAACTACTAAATTAAATTAATTGAAAAAACATTATACTGTGGGGAAGGTATTGCTAGTATATGAAATGAGCATGCATGTCTTCCCAACTGCTCCATCACCCACAGTGACACACTTGATGAATCTTGCAGTGCTCATTTTTGAACCTTCCCTTCACCCTCTTCACTTTCCAAAGTTTCCTCTCATTAATACATGTTTTTCTCTCTCTTCCAACTATTGAAAACTAGATTATCACGAGGAGAAAATGAAGTGGTGAATGCCGAGATCTTTTGAAGCAGATGGGTTTGAAATTTGAATGGAAATGGAGGGGAGAGAGAGTGGCATTTAATAACCTGCAACACTTTACCCACTTTAGCTGCAACTCTTTTGCTCTTTTCCCTTTACAATGATTGTCAATAGCTTTCTGTTCCTTTAAGGGGAAGGGCAGACCCCAACACTAAACAAAGATAGTGTGTTTGGTGTTAGTGTTGTTAGTTGGTTAATTGTTGTGCAAGGTGAATGATGGAGGTTAAGAAAAGAAGACATTGCTTATTTAGCCTTAAGCATTATGATGGATTTGAGAGAAAAAAAGAGCTAGGAAAAAAGTTGAAGGAACTTAAGCTGACCTTGAAGGGATTGAATTTTCATGCTATTTTGCTGTATAGTGGCAGGAAATCATGAACCCCTGGACCAGCTATTAAGCCTTGCAGACTCACGAATTTCACATCAAAGCGATATCAAATCAATAAATTTGGGTTTAATTTTAATGGGATCGGATGGTAAACAATTTGATAAATGGCTTGTGAAATAAATTGTTTGACACAAACACGATTAAAGACAACAAAAACCCGCTAAACACCATTTATACATCCCGACATGACACGAGTCCAACTACCTAAAATTATAAATAAATCGGTATGCGTGTAAACACATTTTAACAAGCATAACCCATTGACAAGGTTTTTTTCCCCTCAAAACCTTTCATGACATATTGCTTGATATGCACAGCAGTTGTCACCATGCGACCATTATTGTGATAACATATCATAATCCACAGATAACATTAGCTTTTTAGGGGCATCAATTTAATTAAAGGGTAATTTTTGTGAGTGGATATGGCTGGTCCTGATGGAACTGAGGTTAAGCTGTTTGGAGGCCCAGGAGTGTTTTATTAAAGCTTACTTTTCTGTATTATAAACAGGGCTGACAAGGTAGATGTTTCTATATATTTGTGCTTAGTATTGACAAGTCATAATTGGTGGCAACAGCCTGATAGGAGGTTATGGCCAACTGTTGTGGGAGAAATGATGTCAGCTTCACGGACGGAGTTAAGAATTTGTTCAATGCAAAGTAAATTTTAACAATAATAAAATAAAAATTAAATTAGTAATCTACACTATTAATAAAAATACCTTATCATAAAAATTTTTTGATTTACTATTTTGCCTTTATAAAAAACTATAAAGGCTAACATGTTCTTTTTTATTTAGATATTTAAATTATTATTATATCCCTTTGTATGTAAAGAACAAACTAATATCTAATATATATCATACAAATCTCTCTATCTTTGCAAAACTTTTAAATGGTCATGTTATGCTTAAAATGATATAGAAAAATAATATTATCCTTTTTTTTTCAAAACTCTAATATTAATACACGTCGACAACTTTATTGATACAATATAATCTTTAATGCCTAAAAATGCCTATATTTACCTTATCTCTTTATTCACGGTTAAAATAATTTGGTAAAAAATTATTGAAGCACAAAGTAAAAATAAAAAAGACAAAAAGAAAAAAAAAATCAAGAAAAGAAAAATATATAAACTTTACTATTTGGTAGCTTGAATGAAGAATCACGAAAAATATGTCTATTGAATGTTTATCGTTATGAAGAGAATATAAAAAATTTAAATATGATAATTATGAGAGAATATCTAATGTAGCTACATAATTAGATTTGTTTTTATGTATTTTACCTAATGTTTTAATAAAATTTTTTATGTGTAATGCATGTCGTGCATTGCTAGTATATCTAAGAACATAAAATAGTGATTGACGACGTGCTTCTATTCAATACATTTACAATGATTCCCGACGAGTTTTAATATATTAAAAATTAAAGGTAATATATGTTTGAAGGTACGAAACAATGTGAATAGTTTTGAGAGAAATGTTGGTAGCCGTTAGATGAGTTTATTTGAAACCGTCAGATAAATTTGTTGAAGTCTGTTCTATTTTATATTATAGATGTTGCATAATAATCTCATTATCAGTGCTCTTGAATATATTTTTCTTAATATACTAAAAAGATTGCATAATAATCTCGGTATGAGTGCTATTAAACAAAGCATAATAACGGTCCAGACTATTTAGATCTGACATCTTATCTTATGATTCAAATTTTAATCTGTTAACTATTGTAACTTGACCTATTTATATTTAACCTTTTAACCACAATAAAAAAACATACTTTACACGGGGATACCCTAGTATATGCATGTAGATGTGATGATTTTGTGAAATGAGTAACGCTAGAATATCTAAATAATGAAACAAAAAATAGAGACAATGTGATGATTTTGTGAAAACATGTTTAGGAGATAAGTATGTTACACCGACCAAATAATAATGAGACAAAAAAAATAGACCAAATAATATAGCGTAGATGTGATAGTACTTATAGTTTCACATCATTTTGATCCTTATTTTTTGTTTCATTATTTGATCAGTATAGCATTTTCATTAGGGGTCTCAAATAACTAAACATCATCTAAATTATATATAATTGAAAATGTTTAGTTTTAACCTAGCTAGCTGTTACATATGTGTGATGATATGTGAAAATATGTTTAGGAGATCAGTAATGCTAGAGTGTCCACATAATGGGCCTAAAAACGGAGACCATGTGATGATTTCGTGAAAACATGTTTAGGAAATGAGTAACAATACACTTGACCAAATAATGTGACACAAAATAAACACGAAATGATATAGCGCAAATGTGATAGTACTTTTGGTTTCACATCATTTAATCCATATTTTTAGTTTTAAATAATTGTGAATGTCTAGTTTTTGTTTGGTCATGAAAATTGAGGTATAGAGAATGAAGTAGTAGTATCTATCCTTGTTACATCTTTATTTATCTGTTCCTTAGCTTTGGTAGGAATGCTGTATATCTCCTTCCAAGGTCCCTGTGAAACGTATAGCCAAACCCCATTTTGCCATTTCATGCATACGCGCAGGTGTGTGTGTTTGGTTGCCTGTGTTGTGTGTGCCATGCTCCAGTCTGGGTTATCACGCAGGACAGGATAGAGATTTTTTTTGGGTATCTTAATCAAACCCAACAAAGACTGGCTACTTTACATTACATCCAGCCATTGGGAAGGCAAATATGATCTGGAGATCTCTTAAGTGGGTCCTATCAATTATATGTTGCGACATGTATTCTGAATCTGTGGCACTCACATTCAGGACAGTCTCTACTCTCTATGATCATATTCATATGAATAGATAAAAATGATGATGTTTTTGACACTGGTGGCAAGTGGAAAGCATCTACCTGAAAATGGCTACAAGGACAACAGAACAGAAATAGGATGCAAGGTTAAAAAGCTTGTCTGTAAATAAATCTTATTTTTCGTAACAAAGAATTATTGAATTCGGTTATGTTTTTATTAGGAAAATCACGTTTTTTTTTTTTACTAGTACTAAATTAGTTCAATACTCCATCAATTATATCTTTACTCTAAAATTACCCTTTATCCCTAATTCTTCAATTACACTTCTTTTTTTCTTCATAATTTCTTCAATAAGCAACTATGATTTAATTTTATTCATAATTTCTTGATCAAATTTAACTTATTTAAATACTAAATATAACATCCCACTTGAGATACATATGATGATAGATGGTTTTGTTTTTGGTTAAAATTGTATACAATTTCAAAATTTTAACTTTTTTTTTGTTAATTATCCTATATGAAATAGATAGTTCAAATAATTATATGAAAAAGACTTATTTATTTGTTTTCTTATTTATTATTTATTCATTCATTTATCCCTAGGTTTTAGGATTTGTCATATGATAGCAGTATTAAAGCCTAGTGGGCAACTGGAGAATGATAATAGAATTAAAACTCCTTTGAAATTATGTTGAAAAAGCAAAACTTAGTTGCGATACTGGACAATTGGTAGGATTCAATGGTTTTTTTTATTTTATTTTTTTTTATTTTTAAACCATCGTTGATTTGTAACTTTAGTTTTCAATGGCTGGTATGAAACCTTCAAAGAATGCTTTGAGAATATAATAATATTTTAAGAGTAATGCTACATGGACTTAAAAAGTAGACTTAAAACTTAGACTTGATAATCTCAACCATTGAATAGGTAGTAGATCCTAATAAATGCTGGGACCCACAGTAAAATCAATGGTTAAGATTATTAAGTTTAATTTTTAAGTCCATGTACCATTGCTCATATTTTAAATTGAAAAACTTGGGTTAAATTTCACATCTGAATGAAAATCATGGTAGAAACCACTTTACATGAGAAATAAAACGAAGATCACTATATTCTGCTTAAAAAAAACTCGAACAATTCTTCATTAAACTATTGTTACTTAAGTCAGAGCTAAATTGCGATCCAAAATTCGCCTTACGTGTGCACGTGAGACAGAGATTATGTTTCCATCAAAGTTTACTGCGAATTTGGACGGAAGGACTACATTGAATCAAATTGCATAGTGCGTGAACTAAATTGATACAAAACATAATTCATGGACTTAATTGATACAAATAATATAGTTAAAGGGCTAAATAGAGAGTACATGGAGCAATTTTTTTTTGTTTACACTTTCTGTTGAAATTCCAACTACGGAGATCAGTACTGAAAAGACTAATGTAAAAACATTTGCTAAACACAACTAGTGCAGATCCTGATGGGACATTTCCAAAATACTTCAAGATGAAGACACGTGTCCTCAGTGTTACTAAATTCTTGTTACTGTGATCACGACACGTACCCATCGGTTCACAAGTCCCTCTCCCCCGAGGTACTGGTCGTAGGGATCAATGACATCCAGTACGTTACGTACCGACACATATCCCTCGGTCAGGGGGGGATATGGTACATCGGTCTCTATATGTACCTCCACTCTCGGCTCCGAGATGTACCTCCTTCTCGGTTTCGAGGTGTACCGTCCAAGGTGGTATTCTCTGCTCCCGCAGAGGCTACTGATGTACAGGTCACTAGCCTAGGCTAGGCTAAGTTAGCCATCATGACCTCGTCTTACACAATTGGTGTCAGAAGGCTCAAGAAGGCAGGAGACACAGCC